AAATCCCAAATGGTTTGTTGTTTCGTAGGACTTGCTGGTGATTTGAAGAAAGCAATGAAAGACGGCAAACCAATTATAATTGAGGTAAACTGTTTGTGAAAGCTTCCATATGTCTGGATTATGTTTCGGCAATTACACTTGTTTTCTAATCTTGGCTATATAATCACAGGGAAGACATTTAGATCCAAGCATTTACTTAATGAATGATGAGAATAAAGCTCCATCAAATGATCCGGAGAAGAGCAGCAAAGAAACAAACTCTTCAGGAGATCCAGCCTCGGACAGAAATCCCGAGGCAAGTTCTTCAAACACGAAAGAAACCGAAACTAGTACTGCTGTGAAGCCCTATTCTGAGGCTGAAGCCACATCTGTGGAAGCGATCGACTCATCAGAAAAAGTTGCACAATGTAAAATCGATGGTATTACTTTATTCAAAGTATTTTGAGTATATTGCTTGCTTTGTGTTTAGATTCTTGCATTTGCTTCTGTGTGATGTATAGTTAAATTCGTTTCATGTGTTTTTGCAGAAGCTGAAAAGAAAAAAAAGTCTGCAGATGGAAGTGGGAAGACGAAATCCGGCCCCGAACCCATAATCATATCTATTGTTTTAAAGATGGCTAAATTTGATCATAAGGTGTTTATCAGTTTTGTTCCTTTCGGGCGATATATAACTCGGAAAATAGTCACTCTCAGTTCTTGATTTTCTTGATCTCATTTTCTCAGGCTTTGTTAGAGGAATGGATCGCTTCCCGTACAACTGGAGATAAATATACATCTAAGGTATAATCCACTTCAAGCTTATAAAGATTACCAAACTGATCTTGAAAGTTACATGACAAAGGTTTTTACTTTTTGCAGGAGAAAGATAGACTAATTACAAACCTAAAGACCATTGAAGACTACCTTTGTTCCTTCAATTCACAGGTTTGTTAAGTCCTTCATCACTCGAATTTCCTTTCGTGTTTAACGGTTCTAACACTGTGTAAATCAGGGAGTGACAGTTGTAAATATATCAGCCACCACATTCCCGCAGACGTTGGATTGGCTTCACAACTATCTTCTTCAGGTAAAGGAGTTGGAAAATTCAAAGCTTTGAAAGTCTTAAATTCTCAACAGAAACAG